AGTGGGGTTCAGTGGCCAGTGGACCTCGCATCCTGAGGAAAAGTACACGGGTGGAAAAGGGACAGGATCTGACTGGAAAACGCTCCAGTCACAGAGAAGCTGTCAGCACCAGAGCGGCGGATAGCGACCTATCTGCTGCTGCTCCCAGAGACGCCTGTGGCCAGAGCCGTGCTGCGACTCGCCAGGTGTGGCGGGGACCCCCAGATCCAGGGGCCCAGAGCGACCCTGAGATACCCACGCACACCACGCCTGAGGCTCATAGAGACACGGAGAAGCCCACGGGACCAGACCTGCCTTCCTGGAGACGCACGGCGGGGGAGCCTGCGGACCTGCCGTGCCATTCCGGGAGTGCGCCCAGAGAGCGCGCGCCCGCACCATATTAGATGGCCTGTGCTACATTTGTTCTGCTTTTCCAGAAGCCACTTTCCTGATACTTGGGGCTGGGTTGAGAAAGAGGAAGAGATGGGGGCATAGTTAAGTGTCACAGCTGGCTTCTGACAGCCAGTGGGCAAGCACATCTGCATCCACCATCTCTTCTTGGAGTGTGCTGCCAATAAGGAGGACCCAGAAATGCCAGGAGTGGCAGGTGGTGTTCAGGGCAGCTCACTTGAGAAGCCGTAGGTCCCAGAGGCAAGTCAGTTTACACACAGGCATCAGCAAATAGCCCAGGTACATACTTGTTACTGCTGCCTGGTCACTTTGTCCACAGCCTTCTCTTTAACATAAATATTGTTCATGGATCAGGAAGCTGTTTGAATGGGTAAATGCAAGGTTAGGGCTAACTACCAAGGCCTGACAGTAGATGAAAAGGAATTTAATTTCTCCATAAAACCCCATTAAACCCTGTGCCTTGCAGATAATTTATCAGAGGTTGCTGGAGAGGAGACCTGGGATGGTCGAAGGATAAGGCTGATAGTGATAAGCCTAGTAGGCCGCCACTAAGCTAAGCAGTTTATGTAGTTTACCTTACTTCATCCCAGAATGTTTTTTACCTGCTTTACCAGTGAGGAAACTGAGGCACAGGAAGGCCTTAAGGTATTAGCCCAAAGCCCTGGACCTAGGATGGGATATCCAGTGTCATACATCTGAGGCCATGCTGCTCAGAGCCTCTCAGAGCCGCTCAGCCCCTGCACAGTAGCCAGGGAGCATTCTCAGCACCTTGCTTCTAGTGGGTGCCTGCTGGAGGCTGGCCTCTTCCTGCTGGGGTGTCCTGGTTTGGACAGAGGACTGTGTGCTTGGGACATGAACCTCGAACTGCATTTCCTTCTTATCAGCAAGTGACTCAAGACCATGACAGCATTAAGAAGCACTCGTGCTCTGAGATTTCCATTGCCCCGCCTCCCCTTCCTGGACTGTATGGGTGATGCTGGCATTATACACCTGGGAGCAGAACTAAAGAGCCAGGGTTACTCTTCTGCTCTGCCCCCAGGAAGACAGCTAAGGTCTTTCATCTCAGTCTGGCTTTCATCTCATTCCCTTCTTAGGGGTTTTCAGATTACCTGAAATAGAAGAAAGCACAGTGCCTCCAGATCCCTCTGTGGAAGGTCCTCACGTTGGTGCTAATGATAGTGATAACTAACGTGCATCTTCTAGATATGAGTGCCTCTGTAACTTGGTTAAATTTCCCAGTACCTTAGAGTCAATGATCACTCCCCCTCTGCCCCCGTCTTAAGGAGTTGACATAGCTTGCTTAGGGAACAAAGTAATGAACTGTTGGAGACGGAACAGAAGCCCATTTGAGCTGACACCAGAGCCTGGCTCTCAGCCTCTTTCTTGCAGATCATTTTCCTGTTCCAGGCTGTTTCGCTGTGTGTCCCACTCCTGCGGGGGTCATGTGCTACAGAAAAGGAAGTCTGTGTGCATGCTTTGTGTTTTTATCACTTCCAGGTATTTAGACATGCTGCTTTTCTGCCTTTGGGTTCCAGTGTAGATGGCACTTCCTATAGGAAGTCCCCCCCAGATACCCCTTAGCTTGCATTTGGTACCTCCATCCTATATGGCTGTAGCCCCTGGCTGTAGAACTTACCATATTGTGTCTTCATTTTCCCCTTACTGTTCTCTCTCCTACTTAACTATAGTTACCCTGTATCCTCATCACCTAAGACATAGGAAGATGCTTACTAGAAGTCTTATTTAATTATCTATAATAATTATGTATGTGTGTATATATATTACATATATATAATTTTTACAAACAAAGAAAATTATGGCACAGGTTTTCAGTATTGAAGTTCTTTGATGCTATGGCCCATTGTAGCAGATCCATTTACTGTTCTACATGAGATCTCAGTGACACATAGATGTGTCAAGATTAAATTCACCCCGTGGCTATCTGGCCATTTCTAGGAGACTGTCAGGCAGAAGTAATTGAAACCCTCTCCTGCAGTCTTTCATAGAGGCCTACAGAAACACGCTGCTCTGTGACTGCAGCAGCTATCTACAGATTTGGCTTCTACTGAGACTTTGTTGGTCCTTCCTTAGACACTATAGATGATTTTCCTCCTACATTCTAGAAGTTTTATAACTATAGCTCTTATATTCAAGTGTAATCTGTTTATGATTAATTTTCATATAAAGTAAGGGTCAAGGTTTGTTTTATCCTAAACAGGTCTCCTGTGTTGTGCGTTCTCCTTTCCCTCCTTGCGTTGCTTGATGCCTTTGTCAAAGCTGAGTTGACCATGAATGTGAGTCTATTGTCTGTATTCCATTTTATTCTGGTAGTGTATATATCCATACTTAGCCCAGAGTAACACTGCACTTCATTCCCAGAATTTTCTATAAAGTCTTGAAATCAGATAATATAAATTATATAATAAAAATTGTAGACATTGCTTACTTGCAGAGAGTAGCTGTATGCCATGTTCTAACAGTTCCGTGCTTTTAGGGTACTTGGTAATTCTCAGGTAGCCTCATCCATCCTCTGAAATCAGGCTGCTAATTGGGAATAGGGGCAGTTTCTGGTCTGGCTGTGCCTACTCCCATAATTATGCCATGGGACTAGGGGCATTCTTGAACACCCTACTGTGCTGTAGTGTTGACTTGGGCAAGAACTTCTATCTTATCTTGCATTCTGCCTTTTGTAAGACCTTGAAACAAGGACCTTATACAAACCTAGAAGAAAAATGTCAAAAATTATTAGCAAGAGTTACAGAATGCCCAAGCAATGGAAAGTCTATAAAATTATTCCATATTCAGGGCTGGAGAGACAGATCCGCGGTTAAGAACACTGGTTGTTCTTGCAGAAGACCCAGGTTCAAATCCTAGCACCCACATGGCAGCTAACAACTGTCCGTAACTCCAGTTCCAGGGGATCCAAAGGCCTCCTCTGACCTCTGTGGGCATTGCACAACATGGGTGCACTTACCTACATGCAGGCAATACACGCATACATGTAAAATAAAAATATATTTTTTAAAATTATTCCATATTCAGGCTGTCAGCATAATGAGAGGGTAAATTCTCTTGCCATGCAAGCCTGGCTACCTGAGTTTTATCAACCTGAGTTCAATCCCCAGAATCCACATAAAGGTGGAACGAGAGAACTGTCTCTATAGAATTATCCTCTGACCTCCACATGCATGCCATGGCATGTGCACTCACACACATACATCATGCACACACATACATCATGCACACACATACATCATGCACACACATACTAAGTTTTTTTTTTTAGTTATTTCTTATTTAAGAAATAATTTTACTGTAACTGAGGATGACCATAATAAACTTTTGATCCTCCTGCTTTTTACCTCCCAAGTGTTGAGATCACAGGCATGTGCCACCATTTCTAGTTTATGGAGTGCAAAGGATTGGGGCCAGAGCTTAGTTATTGTTGGGAAAGCATTCTACCAACTGTGCTCATTGCCAGTCCCTGAAATAGTCTTAGAAACCTGAAAATTATATAAGATGTATGTATTAGCAATTTGTTTTATAAAAATATTCTATGCAAATTACACAGGCTTTACATTTTAATAAGTAGAATGATTTTCATTTTTGAATGTGTAATTTTCTAGTCTTTTCATTGTTCCTTGCTTTAAAAGGCACCATTTCACCTCTTTTGATTGTGGGTGCCAGGGTTATGGGGAGCAGAAGAGGTCTTGGAAGAATATTGTTCAGAGAGGGGAATAAGCATTCAGGAATTTCCACAGTGTCACACAAGAAAAACCAAGGTAGAAGTCCTCATGCTGTTTGCAGAGCTTGTCTGGCCCCACAGACACATGGGTGGTGACATAGCAGGTGTTAGCAGATTTGCTTGCACTAGATGAAACCACTGTTTAGGAGATCAAAAAAGGTCAAATGTCAGGAATTCGATTATGTCAGTCCTCAGGGAAATCAAAGGGGTGGGAAGCCATGTAGGATCTCATGGTTGCTGGTGAAAAGTTGGCTTGGAGTTAAAGGCTACTCTGGGATCAGTGTGTATAGAAGGCAGGGTGAGGAGAGAACTCCAGGAAAGCTGGAGGATGGAGGTTGATCAGGCCTCTGAAGCCAGTTTGTGACTAAGGAAGAGCCAGAGGCTATATTCAACCCTTACATCCATGAAGAGGTAAAGATCACTGTGAGTGGGACATAGACGGGCTAAGCAGTTTGGACATTGATTTGGCTGGTTTTTTTTCCCTTGGTGGATAAAGGACAAATCAGTAGGTGTTCTCAGCTTCTGACCAAGATGGACCATAAAAAGCATGAAGAGGTCATGATTGTTGGTGTATCTGCAGCCTCAGTGGCATTGAGATGTTCATACGGACAAATGAACAAAGATGAGAGGCTTTACTAACAGGTGGAAGAAAATATTTGAGGCGTGTGTGTTCTCTCTCTCTCTCTCTCTCTCTCTCTCTCTCTCTCTCTCTCTCTCTCTCTCTCTCTCTCTCTCTCTCTCTCTCTCTCTCTCTCTCTCTCTCTCTCTCTCTCTCCCCCTCCCCCCCCCCCCAAATTTCTAATCTAGAAGAGACTTCTTTACAGTTAAATTCACATGTGGTGTTTCTTTTTTTTTACTTTTCCAGTTCCTCCAGGAGTGATACAAAATGGAGCGCGAGTTCTGAGCCGAGGGCTGTTTCCTGGCGTCCGCCCCTTGCCAATAACTCCCATTGGGATGACGGCAGCCATGAGGTAAGGGGGGTCCTTTCTGGGTGGAGCCTTCCTGAGGAGTGAGACGGGCATCCCTCTGTCCCCTGGGGGCCCCTTCAGAATGTGGCGAGAACCTGGTTTGAGTGTTCTGCAAAGTCAAAGGAACCTGCAACAACTCCAAATGCCATTATCCCCTTGGGACATCAGATTAGCCTGATTCCTTCCCATAAAGAAGACGGAATGAGTTAAACTAATTTTTTTAAGGTGGTAGGGCTATGCAGTAGAAGGCCAGCGTAAGCCCTTGTTCATTAGGTTCTAATGACTTCTATCGCTTCCTGCCTGTGACCCTAGGATGATATCTCCCAATTCCCTCATCTCTGGAACTCCAGTGCTTCCACAGAGGGGTGCAGCACAAACAACACACAGAATCACATGTGTGATGTGATTTACTAAGTGGTCTGTGGATAACAGAGGCATCATTTCCCAGCTACTGAGTAGGTCATGGGAGACACATGAGCTCTTCCTGGGGAGCATTTTTTCTCTGTTCTCCATCACTGCCAACCCTGGAGTAGGGGCCACCCCTGGCTTAGAGCCCTCACCAGCAGTGCAACAGCCTCGTATTTGCTCACCTATCAGTCACTGTTTGGGTAATTTACTATAGTGTCCTTCTCAGGCCACCTGCAGGAGATCCTTCCCTGACTCCCTCCACATCACCCTGGCAACCCCACCCTGCCTTTCTCTTGTGCCACGTTTGTGTCTTAGGTTTTTTTTTTTTTTTTTTTTTTCCTATTGCTGTGATAAAGTATTCTGACAAAAACAACTTAAAAGAGAAAGGATTTTTTTTTTTTTTTTCCTGGCTTGCAGTTCAAGAGTGCAGCCCATCATGATGGGGAAGTCACAGCACCAGGAGCTTGAAGCAGCTGGCCACATCTCACCCACAGGATGCAAAGTGGGATGAATACATGCCAGTTCCCATGTATAAAGCCCAAGACCCCCCTGCCCAGGGAATGGTGCTACCCATAGTGGGCAGATTATCCCAACTCAGTTAAGCAACACAGTCCCTCATAGGCACACTCCAGGCCTGTTTCCTAGGTGATGCTGGATTCTGTCAAGTTGACATTTTGTTACTTGCACATCTTCCTCTTGCAGTCTCTTCTGTAGAGTTACCTCAGTGTTCACAAGATTCTTCAGAACACTTTTCTGAAAGTGGCCAGCTTGCGTGAAACAAATCTTTCCTGTGTCCCCCATGAGTCCTAAGACTCAGTGGTGGCCTCTGGTGTATAGCCCTGTTTGTTAGTAACTTCTCTGGATGCCCTTTTCTCTTATTCTTATTCCTCTTTATTTATTTATTATTTTATTTATGTATTGAGATAGAGACTCACTCTGTAGCCCTAGGTGTCCTGGAACTCTCTATGTAGACCAGGCTAGCCTCAAACTCAATGGAGATCACCTGCCTATGCCTCCCAAATGCTGGAATTAAAGGCATATGTGCATTACCATGCCCTGCTTTGGATACCCTTTTCTTGTCTCAGTGGCTTGCTTGCTGAGGGTGTATGTGACTAAGTTGGTCTTAGCTGACCTTATCCAGCACTGCACAGGCACAGCGTGCTTGCTTGCTGGAGGCCTTCCCCTCAGCTGCATCCTTTTTCTTTCTTTTGCACATTCGGGTCAAGGTTGTACTTGTATTGGTTACTTTTCTGTTGCTGTCATAAAATACCATGAACAAAAGTGGCTGAGGAGATTTGTTTCATTTTGTTTTGTTTTGTTTTTGGTCTTTTTTTTGAGGTAGGGTCTCCCTGTAGCCCCAGATGGCCTGGAACTTGCTATGTAGACCAGGCTGGCCTTGAACTCACAGAGATGCGCCTGCCTCTGCCTCCCAAGTGCTGGGATTAAAGGCGTGCACCACCACGCCCGGTGCAAAAGTAGCTTAGGGAAAAAGCATTTATTTTGGCTTAAAGTCCCAGAAGGAATACAGTCCATCATGGTGAGGAAGGTTTGGCAGCAGGAGCAGGAAGCTGACTGGTGACACTGCATCTGCACATGGGAAGTAGAGAGGAAGAATAAACAGTGGGACCCGCTATGAATTCCAAGCTGCCCCCCAGTGATGTGCTTCTTCCAGCAGGGCTGTGTCTTCTAAAGGTTCCATAACTCCCACACTGTGCCACCAGCTGTGGACCAAGTGTTCAAAAACACGAGCCTTTTGAGGACATTGTAAACATCACACCCAAAGGCTGTTTCCATATTTTGTTTTCATAATGTTTCAAAAACCAAAGGAAACTCAAAATCTCTGCTTAACCCAAGGGAGGTGCAAGTCCAGATCCCCTAAGTTTAAATGAACCATATACCACTTCTCCATGAACCTGTATCTGTTAAGCATCTTGACACAGGTTGCTTTGCCGAATGGAAATTGCTTCATCGCTGAGGCCAACTCTGGTATCTGGGACCTGAGAATGAGAAAGTTGGTAGGAATTAGATTAGTGATAGATTATCAGGACACGGGAGATGGTTCAGCGGGTAAAAGCGCTTGCCCTTGAAGCACGAGGCCCTGAGTAAAAGGTGGGCATGTTCCTATGTGCCTATAACCCCATCATTAGAGACAGATCTTGAGAGCTCACTGGCTGGCTAGCCTAGCCAAAAAGAATAAAGGAATAAAAAAGTGGACAGCAATAAAGGATGACACCCAACATCCTACACAAAGGTGTACATACCCCACACACTTGGCATGCATGCACCGCACACGTGAACACCACACACACACACACACACACACACACACACACACACACACAACTAGAATGGTCATAGATCATGTAACCATGTGCCATCTCTATTAACCTGACAAGGGATATTTTCTAAAAAATACATGGGAGTCTTTCTTTTAGATTTCTGTAGTCTTTCCTAGTTAGCTTCAACTCAGTAGCTCTTGAATTTGCAGATGGTATACCTGTGTCATGAAACCCAAATACCAATGCTGTTGCCTTTTTTTGTGACAGACATACCCTGTTTTCCATTCTTTCTTAAAATTCTTCTCACTTTCTAGTTTACTTTTTTGGTTGAAAAAACTTTGAGAATGTGGAGTATTTTTGCTTGGAGGAACAACGTATTTTCATTAGAACATTCTAAATATAGTCTTGGAGTATATCAAGTCAACCATTCTTGGAATGCCTTCAAGTGCAGCTTTTGATGTGAGGCCAACCATTCCTTCCAGAAGGGCACAGAAGAGCCAGACAGACAGCAGACCCTTAGGCAATCTGCCTCCTCTTTTTAATTATCACCCTCCTGGCATATATTATCACAAATACTGTTGGTCAGTCATATCTAGAGGCACTATTTTATGTCCCATCCCATTCCCCCCCCTGCCCCACCCCCAGGCATTGTTCTATTCCGGAGGCAAATTCATGAGCACCTCAGAGACTGAAGCCATACCAGGTTTAGAACAGAGAGATAATAGTCGATTATGTTAACCAGAAGAGTGAGAAAGAGAACTCATTGTGTCATGGAAAAATAAAGTCAGGAAGCAGCCATCACTTACAGGGCTGGGGGAACAAAGGGAAGAAGAGGGCATGAGATCTCATGGAACTGGAGTTATGGACAGTTGTTAGCTGCCATGTAGGTGGTGGGAACTGAACCCAGGTCCTCTGCAAGAGCAGCCAGAAGTCTTACCACTGGGCCATTTCTCCTTCCCCATCCATCATCATCCTTTTTAAGTTTGGCCACGTGCTGTTTGAGTTCAGCTGAAGTTGAGTGATAAACAGTCCAGTGAAAAATAGAACCCTGAGTGTCATCTGCCTGTCAGTGTGTGCCAAGGATCTGCAGGTATTCCAAGGATCTGCAGGTATTCCAAGGATCTGCAGGTATTCCAGTGTTTGTAGAGGTTCCTGTCTAGCCTGTTGGCCTGGGAGAGTCATTAGCACCCACTAAAGGCCAGTTTCCTCCTCTCCTTTGTGTGGCAGGTTTTCTGTGAATATAATCACTTCCCCTTAAGTGAAAATATTTGTCTTTCAGGGATTTTTTTTTTCCCCCCTCTGCTGAGTGGCAAAGGCCATGTTTGTTTGTCTTGACTCTGAAACTGTTATTGACATAGATGAAGTGCTACTTTTATTAGCTGATCATTACACAGCTTGTATTTGCTGGGTTCCTTTGCATATAATTATGATGTGAAATCTCCTTGTAAGAGTATCTGTCAATAGTGTAATTGACTCTACCGTGTTGACTCTTTACTCAATAACCTCCTGGATAGGCCCATCCTTAGACATCGGAAACCTGGTTATTTTTAAATTGGCCTGGGTGCAGAGCGCTCAAGATGCACCGTCCTCAGAATAACTGCTCGCAGGTCTTAGTGTTCTGTACGTTTCTGCTGCTCTCCCAGGGGACTCCCCTGCAGAGTGCCCATTGAGTGAATGGAGTTGGAGCTGCTCAGTGGGCGATGCCTGCCTAACATGCGTGGGGCCTACATTCATTCCTAATATGACCAAAATAACCTTTTTTTTTTTTTGTTATTTTAAGAGAGACTCCATTCAGTGGATCATATGCACAGACCTGGGAGAACAGATCTAGCCTTCTTGGGTGACAGGAAACCAGATTTCTTCCCTCTTAGTGCTCTAAGCTACCTTCCTAGCAGGGTGGTCACAACTCCACAGGGTCTGAGATATCTTACTTTTAATTTCAAGGGTCTTTTTTTTATAATTTTTTTTTTTTTGTCTTTTTTGTCTTTTTGAGAAAGAGTCTCCCTGTAGCCTCAGCTGGCCTAGAACTCACTATGTAGACCAGGCTGGGCTTGAACTCACAGAGGTCTGCCTGCCTCTGCCTATAATTCTTTTTTTTCTTAAGATGTATTTTTGCGCGTGTGTATAAGTGTTTTGCCTGTTTTTACAGATATGTATACCACATGCATGTAGTGGCCAGAAGAGGACGTCTCCTCAGCATGCCCTAGAACTGTTGTTACAAACAGTTAGTTGCCATGTGGGCGCTGGGAACCAAACCAGGGTCCTCTGCAAGAGCAGCCAGTGCTCTTAACCACTGAGCCATCTCTCCAGCACCAA